TTATTTTCTGGATAAGATAGAAGCCCTTTTCCATTGTTTTTAATGTGGTCTTGATTTTTTCCATGCTTCCTCCTCAGGGACTTTCACCTAGCACCCTCTCTCCAGGATATGCTCCCTTTCTTTCATCCTGTAGTCATTCAAAAATCCAAAGATTAAAAATAAAGCATGTTGGGTACACATGCACCATGTGTAAGGTGAATTTATAATCCTTTCTTTTTAGTAAAATATAAAAGCTGGTGGCTTCAATGTCTGTTAGAATGTAAGCTCCATGAAGGTAGGGAGTTCTGTCTGTTTTGTTCACTGATATATCCCAAGCTCCTAGAACAGTGCCTGGCACACAGTGGGTGTTCAATAAGTACCTGTTGAAGGAATTAAGGTTTTTATATTTGTAATCTAATTTTAATCCTCATTGTTGTGCTATGGAAAACATATTGATATGTTATCTACAACACGTATTTTAGGAATGGATAATTTCCTAGAAACATACAACCTACCAAGACTGAATCATGAAGAAATAGAAAATCTGAGCAGACCAGCTACTGGTAAGGAGGATGAATCAGTAATCCAAAAACCTCCCAATGAACAGCTATAAAAATAAAGGAAATCCTGCCAGTTGCAACAACATGAATGGACCTTGAGGATGTTATACTAAGTGAAATAAGTCAGACAGAGAAAGATGAAAGTACTGTATAATCTCACTTATATGTGGTATCTGAAAAAAAACCCCAAAAGACAAAAAAACCAAACTCATAGATACAGAGAAGAGATTGGTGGTTGCCAGAGGTAGGGATTGGGGAGGGAGGTTGAAATGGGTGAAGGTGGTGGAAAGGTACACATTTCCAGTTATAAAATAAATAAGTCCTGGGAATGTAATGTATAGCCTGGTGACTACAGTTAATAACACTGTATTGTATATTTGAAAGTTTCTAAGAGAATAAATCTTAAAAGTTCTTATCACAAGACAAAAATGTGTAACTACGTGTGATGATGGATGTTAACTAGACTTATTGTGATGCTCATTTCACAATATATTCATACGTTGAATCATTACATACGCCTGAAATGAATATAATATGTCAATTATATCTCAATTTAAAAAGCACATAATTTAAATGTACCGGTGATCTCATACAGACTTCTAAAATAAACTTAAAACGTAATAAGAATATTGATTGGCTTTTGCCACACTGGAAATCAGCTTCAACGTCTGTATAAATAGGTGGCAGAAGTGGAATAAATGTATAAATGGAAGATTTAGGATCTTCTATCTCTAGGAGTCCATATTTCTATTTCTCAGTTTGCCTGAGTTTGATCAAGTATAAATCTTGCCCTATTTTCATTCATTGGTTCTCCCTTTTTTCCTTCTAGGAATTCATTCTTCTTTTTTTTTTCTTCACAATTTTAAGACAACTGATGTTCTCTTGGATTTACGTGTCATCATCACAATACACCCATCCTTTCCCGCACCATTTCTAGTCCCCTTGATTAAACTTGTTTCTTGAGTGTTCCCAGACCTGGATTACTATCATCACTGAGACACACTCTCCAGTCGCATGAGAATCCTCCCCAGGACTATTGATCTCATTGCTTCCTTCCCCCTACGGGACCATGAGCCATCGTCCAGGTCCGGTGCCCTCTCTCTAGATGCTTCTCCTCCCCTGCTTCCTCTCTTCATCTTATCAACATTCTTCTGTCTCAGGACTTCCCTGATGGTGCAGTGGTTAAGACTCTGAGCTCCCAATGCAGCGGGCCCGGGTTTGATCCCTGGCCAGGGAACTAGATTCCACATGTATGCTGCAACTAAGAGTTCGCATGCCACAACTAAGGAGGCTGCCAGCTGCAACTAAGACCTGGCACAGCCATATTTAAAAGAACTATTTTGAGCTCTGGAAGACCATTAACTTCCCTTTAAAAAAAATTCTCCTGTCTCTTGCACACTAAAAACAAAACCCCTCTACTGACCCAGGCTTCCCCTTCTCTCTCTTTTCCTGTAAAATGGTAGCATCATCTCACTGTTTTTATTTCTTTACCTCTATAGCTCAACTAACTGTAAAAAATCTTTCACTCCCATTCACTCAAGATGGTGTTTTAAAGTCACTTATAACCACTTAACTGCCAAATTCAATTAACACATGTCCTTATCTTGTTTGACCCCTTGGTAGCACTTAATACCTTGGACCTTTCCTTCCTTGTTAGAATTCCTTCATCCCGTGTTTCCACCACCCCTGCTCTATAAATGCACCTTCTACCACCTTCCCCTTTCCTTTAAAGTGAGGGTTTTTCATTTGTTTTGTTTTTGTTTTATTTTATTTTTTGCATACCCTCTCATTTTACAAGCAAATGTTGCTTTCCAGAGCTCTGTCCTTGCTCCAGTTCTCAAGCTTACAAAATTTCTATGGGAAAATTATCAACTCCTATCGTTTTAATTTCTACTTCTTCTTTTTTTTTATGATTCCCACATTTAAATCTTTAGCTGTAAACTCTCTGCTAAACTCCAGATATCATATTTCTGGTTGTCCTCTGGATATCTTCTCAATATATGTGTTCCTAAGCCTTCTAAAATCTATTAATTTTATTCCCTTCTCTGTGTTATGACAACCAGCCACATTCTAGAGGAAAGAGGCTCCATAACCTTTTATCCTTAAGTGAAGATGATGTGCAGTAGATCCCCCACCAAACAAAAGTGAATATATGACCTGAGTGAGAAGTAAATGTCTCTTATTTTAAGCCTATGAGAGTTTGGAGTTATTTGTTATTGCGGTCTAGCCCAGCCCGACCTGACTGATTCAAGATCTAAAACCAAATTCACTGTTGCTTCCTTGAGCACTATTAACAGAATGAAAGAACATAAAAGCATCTCACTTGCTCTTCCTCCTATATTCCGTTCTCCTCATCTTTTTTGAGCCATCACCATCAACCCACTTAAGCAGCCTAGAAACCTAGAAGCATATCTAAACTTCATGTTCATGTCCACCCACATTTTATGATTCAGGTAGTTCTGCAGATTCTATTTCTAAGTATCCGTCAAATATATTCTTTCATTCCCATCCTTAGTATACATCTTCTCATCATCTGTTGCCTGAACTATTGCAATGAGTTTGTAAATGATTTCCTTGTCTCTAGTGTCAGACTTCCCTAAATCCATATGGCTGCCAGAGTAATTTCTATAAAAAGAAAACTTTGGTTATTCCACCCTCCTGCTTAAAATCTCTCACCAGGGCTTACAGAATAAAGCTTAAATGCTTTATCATGGTATATTAGATTCTAAATAGTCCAAGCCTTTTCTCCCTTCTCAGCCACATCTCTGCTCCAGCAACACCTACTCCCTAGAAGCACTGCCCCTTCTCCCACTCCTGCACCACACACACACACACACAGACTCCACTATTTCTTGACTGATTCTTCTAGAAATCCCAATTTTGGTTTCTTTCGCTTTAAGAAGGCTTTCCTGGTTGCAACAAACAGACTTATCACTTCCCTCCCTTGTACTACTTCTTTGCTTAAAATGTGATTTTGTTATTGGACGTGGCAATTAAAAAAAATCTTTGCTCATGTGGCCACTGTGATGGCCATAGATGGCAATGACTGCGATCCTCTTGAGAATAGGGGGATATCTTATTCACAATTATACCTGGAAAGTGCAGAACTTAGCACATTACAGATACCCTAAAAGATGTTTACAAAATGGATACGATAAACCATTTCATCAGATAGCTTAGCATCTGTTAAGTGTTTAAATTTTTTTATATAACAAAATTTATTGAGAGTTTACTATGTGTCAGGCACTGTAGCAAACATTCTATAAGTTTTATTTTATTTAGCCTAACAATACTTCTAGGGCACTGAGGCATGCATTAGATACCTATCCTCACTGATTTCACTATCTGAAGCAAACCCTTTCTCACCTTCCTGACAGGTAGATCATTATAGGCCCTTGGGTATTAATTAGATGGATTTCTTTCCTACACAGTAATTGAATGGATAGCAGAGACATTATAGCCTACATTTGGGGTTCTTCTCTACAACTTTCAAGAGGAAGTTCAGCTCTATTATTTAAAACATTTTGGACAAAAATCATGACATTTATATATCATCTTTTCTTGGAAGCATAACTTTTTTTTTTTTTTTTAACCAAGATTCATGGACCTCTGTGATAAGTAAGGGGTAACTTAAATAAGAGAAACAGGCACAGAGAGGTTGACTAAGTTATGCCACATCATAACTTTCCAGGATTTCATTATTATTCCACACATACCCAACACCCACAAAAGAACTTGCTAATTATCACTGAGTGACAAAATGCCAAGAGTGACAGAATTGTATAGATGACACTCAAGACTTATCTTTGGAGGACACTGATAAGATGTTGGGGAAAATGGCAAAGACGAGAAGACAGAGTAGAACTCTATGCCCAAATCCTATGACTCCAGGCTCTGGTCCTCTAGGTTGGAACATTGTCTTTTACAATTAAACTCTTGTGAATCTTTAATCTTCAAATAATAATAGGCAGATGGAGGAACCTAGTCTGTCAATACATTAAAAAACAAATAAATCCTCCCCAAACCGATATTCCTTTCGTAAGGAGTGCAGAACCAGTGGCATTTGCTGAAGGCGAAAAGCCGTGAGACTGTCGAGCAGTAATGACCCGCCACTCGGCCTTTTTTTGCAGTAATACACAAAACGTGTAGAATCGCTTAAGTTTAACCCGTCCTAGCCTCTTCACTAGGAAACTGGTCGCTCGGGCGAATGTTGTTTTCCACCCCCCGCAGACAAGTGTGGAAGAGCGATTAACACTCGCTTGACAAACCCGCTCCCCGGGCCATTTGGGAGTTGCACGCGTTCGCCCCCGGGGTTCGGGCCGCTGCGCCTTCACGCGCAGCCTTTTTGTTTACGCGGAGAGAGGGGAGGAGAGGGAGAGGACGTGTAAAGATGTAGCGGGCTGCGGGGGCTATATAAGGCTTCGGGCTCGGGCCGGGTGGGTGCCAGGGGCCAGCCTGCCCATGGAGATCGCGGAGGCCACGGAGACCCCAGGCGGCCAGCGCGCGCGCTGCCGCCTCCAGCTGCCAGCCGCTACCGAACGCCACACGCGGCGCGGGGGCGCGGACTCCGGGTACCGCGTCTCTGTCCCGCCCTGCGCCTCCCCCGCTCCATCCCTCCCGCCTGCGCCTCCCCAGCTCCACCCCTCTGCTCTCTCACCCCCGCACCCTCTAGGCTCTCGCTCAGATGCGGTCGGTTCTCCCGGGTCGGGGCTCACTGCTCCTCTGCGCGCCTTCCGCTGCCCACCTCGCAGATCCGCAGGCTTCTGGAGACCGTGGGTGGAAGACAGTGGCGAGGAGGAAGAGGCGCCGCACCACGCCGCGGAGGCGGTGAGTGAGCCGCGCCTCCCGGGGGCGCTGTTGATCGATCAACGCCGGCTACGCCGGGCCCCAGGGAGACGCGCGCCTGGCCTTCCCCTCGCTTAAGATCGCGCCTGCTGGTGGCCATACCGGTGGCCCTGTCGGTGCTGAAGCGACGAGTGCGTCCTCCACAGCTACTGGCGCGAACAGATCGGGCCGGGAGCGAGGCTACTGAGAGCCCCGCGGTCACATTCCCCGCAGAAGAGAGGAAAGCCTGGTCGCCAGGGTTTGCAGTTTTTTTAGAAGGTGAGTGCTAACTTCGATCCATTTCCTTACACCCCCAGATGCCAGATGGCCCCGGAATAACGGACGCCTCAGAAAAGCTTTCCCGATACAGACACCCAGTCAGGTGAGTGACAGGCCTCATCGAAGGTCTGTCTGCAGCCACAGGGAAGAGCCGGGGGCCTCGTCCGGCCCTGCTCAGCAGCTGGTCCTGAAGTTTTTCTCTTTTGGAAAACCTATCTTTAACGTTTCTTTAATCTTCCTCGTCCCAGAGGTCCTTTACTCATCGAACTGGAAAATGTAGGAGCTCACGCTCTCCCCTAAAAGAACTGTTAATCAGTGCACACTTAGTAAACACTTAAAAAATATATTATGAAGAGTGAAAGCGGGCGGTGTTAGTAAAAGTAGAAAGGTGACATCTTGTGCCTGCAAAACAATTTCTTTTTAATGCCAAAGGGTTCAAGTGAAATCGACTTCACACCAGGCAGAGTGTGTATATTCTTTTTCTCTTGCAAACCAGAAGGAAGAATGGTATTCACAATCATGGTTCACAGCAAACTGAACAAATCGAGCTTGACGTGTAAGAGAAAAAGGAAATATGATGAAAATCCTAAAGACTACTAAGGATCACAAAAGGGACCAACAGTTAATTTGACCTAACAATTAGGAGCTAGTTTACTGTTCCTAGCTACTGGGAAGTCAGCCTTCCTGTAAGATTCTTTGTAGCTTTTAATCAGGTGGAAAGTTAATTCTGCAGTTTGCCTGCCTTAGAGAGCTGTTAGATGAAGAGCTATATAATGTTTGTAGAGTGTGTATATGTTTATAATAGCACACAGTAGTCGATACATGTTGATTAATTTCCTACCCTTTGCTAGAGCTTGTGAAGGACAGAGAAAAAAATAATCACAGCCCTTTGGAAGTGTTTTAATAGTTTAGCTTGGTCAATTTTATAACTAACTCTGTCAGAGGGGGTGGAGAAGGGTCAGGGAAGTGTGTATCATAGGTGTGATTACCTGGCTGAGTCTTGAAGTTAACCAGATGGATGGTAGGTCGGGAACGTGGGAGCAGAAGAAATAGCACAGAAAAAGAGAACAGCATGGTTCCTTCTGGGAGCATCAAGGAACTGGCATTTGGGTGTGTGAAGCTGTGGTCATTTCACCAGGGAAGCCAGAGCCCAGGTCTTGTACACCTTGGTACAAGAGTTTTGTCCTGATCCTGTATGTGGCATTGGGAACTCATGGACTTTATTCTGTAGATGGTATTGGGGATTACTCAAAGGATTTTAACCAAAAGAGTAATGTGATTAGATTTATGTTTCAGAAAAATCACTAAGGAAATGGTATATAGCTTTAGTTAGAACACCAAAAGTGAAATTGGAAGTTATTGCAGTTCAGGCATTGGAAGCGAGGATGGGACTGGGTGAATCTGGAGAATACTTAGGTGACACAGTAGATTAGGCTTATGATGTATTGGATATGGTAGGTAAAGTAGAAGTAAAAAGACAGAATGACGTGCAAATTGGTGGAACTGTAGATCAAGATACTGAGTCGAATTTTCCATTTGTCATATTTAATGTGCCTATGGTGCCTCCAAATAGATATTCCAGTAGAGAGCAGCATATACAGGTTCGTGGTCCAAAGTCAAGTTCTTAAGTGGAAATACAGACAGACTTGGGAACCTTTGGTAAATTGGGGAAATCATGGCAGTGGGTCAGGTCATCTGGAGGAGTGAGAGAGGAGAAATGATCACTCTTGATAAAATGGTGGGGGAAGGCCAGCATCTAACCTGTCTACAGAGAAAGAGAGGTCCACAAAGGTGACTGGGAAGAATCACTCAGAACAGGGGAGAATTCAGTAAAGTATGAAGTCCCTGGAAGAAAAATGGCCAGTGAGAGATTCCGGGGGAGAGAGAGTGTGATAACAATTAAACAACGTTCTTTGGGTTTGGCAGTTTTACACATTAGAAAATCAACTGCTTCCTATATAAGCACTTCCATTTTTGAACTACCGTAGCAGTTTCTTTGTATTTCTCTTAAGTTTATTGTATTTTTATTAAGTTCTATCTTGAGTAGTAATGTGTGTTTCTGATTCTTTTTACTCAGTTGTCAACTTCATGAAGGTAGGGACCATGATTTATTCATCTTTGAATTATGTTTGACGCAAGAGATCACTAAAATATTTATTGAATGACTGAATTACTGATGGTTGTTTATTTAGGCACCCAGTTGATAAGCTTAAAAAAAAACTATTTGGCTAGAAATGTTTATAAACTACACGGCCTACTTTTTTGCCTTTTAAAATAGAGTATAGTGAACATATGTAAATTTCTCTTTGTTAGAATCAGTCTATTGTATGGGTATGTGGGGCTATTTATTGTATACTAAAATACTGTGTACTGTAGCTGGTGATTCAGCCTTGTCCTTTTATTTTACTTGGATGAAAAATAATAGAAGATCAGATGGCAAGATTAATATTTGTTGGAAATTTGAAGTTTTGAGGTAATCACGTTTACATACAAATTATTTGTATAAAACCAGTCTAATTCTCAACATCTTAATATGGTGTTCCAAAATTTAGTTGGGTGGGGAAAGGGGAGAGAGATGGGCTCGAGGTTGGGGTCAGAGGTAGCCTTTTGAAAAGGTTGCTTTTTGTACTTTTCTAAACTTGATTTGGTTCCATCTGTAACTAAGAGCTAAGTCTGAGTTTCAAGCAAAATACTAGGTAATTTATGCCTATGTGTAAGATGCGTAATACTTTGATGTCTTTATAAAGTTGGCTATCATCACAATTTTTAATGTCATGGTAGAATTCATTTTTTTTCCCAAAGGAATTTGGAAGACAAACCTTCTTCTGTATTTTGTAAGAATAAATATATCCATAATGCCTGAAGTAAGTTAAATATTGATCTTATGCTCACGAAGGGTTTAGTGTCAATTTGTTTGGTCCAATTTATAGCTTGGATAAAGATTTAAAGTAATTAACCAGTTATTGATACTTTGTCAAGTAGACTCCATGAAAGCTGTGATAGTAGCATTTTAAACTATCTAAATGCGTAAATCAGTTGTTAAATATATGGAGATTTTGAAATTTGAACGTTTCATGAGTAGAAGGATTCTGAATGTGAAAAAAATAAAGCATATTATGTTGTCTGCTTCTTTCAGACTATTTTGGCCAAAATCAAAGTGTTACGATTACTTATATCAAGAAGCAGAAGTCCTTCTGAAAAAATTTCCAATTCAAGCCACAATTTCATTTTATGAAGATTCTGATAGCGAAGAAGAAATTGAGGAGCTGATCTGTGAAAATTAATCTGATTACTTTTGATGACATTCAAAGCTTGTAGGTACAAATTAGATTAGTGTACAAATGTATCATAATCCTTTTAAATTAACTTATTTGTATATAAATTATTAATAAAATGAACTATTTAGTAATTACTATGGTAGTTTGGCCTTTTTTATCCCTACACTATAATTCAGTGTTGGAATTTAAAAATAGGTTTTATTTATAATGGAACCTTGATTGTATTATAAACATTTGGGGCTTATAAAAGATAATTTGGTTCTCTTCATCAAATTACAAATTTATCTTCAGTTATAACTTTGAAAATAAAACTTTTCAAAGAAAGACAATATTTAATTTTCAAGACTGAATCTTGTGACATCTGGTATTTCCTACCGAGCCCCATTGGATGTTGTAGTTACAGATGAATATTATCTTACTAGATAATGAGGACAATCCTCTTATGTTTCCAATCACACATTATTATTATGTATTAGCTAGTAGATGGTGAAAATGTTGTAAATCATTGTCTATAATTGAGATTGGGAATCAGTGTTAGGGCTATTAAATTGTAGGGATTTTAATGAATGATGAGTCAAGTAATTCTTACTTTAATACCCTTCTGCTGTCCTCAAATCCAGTAGTAAAATAGCATGGGTGTTTAGTACTTATGGCACTACATTGAGGGATCCCCAGAATTAAAACAAAACATTTAAATGGATGTGACTTACATGGAGTCTAAAAAAGGGGAGACAAAAGGCCAGAATTTGATAGTATTTTTTTTTCCATTTCTGTCCACGAGGGAGCTAGGAAATTTGGCAGATAGGAGACATTCTCCAACTGCATCACCTTCCATCGCTGCTGTGGTTCCCTGCTCCTGATACTCATGTAACAATTTTCACATAGGAAGTGAAATAAGAAATTCTTAGAGATTAGCTTTTTTTTTTGTTAAACATAGACTTATAGAAGAATACATCATCTTTTAATGAAAGAGAAAACAGGAGCACTTTGCATGGGAGAGGTAACATAGTAAACTATGATCATGAAGTTCTTTTAGCTCAAATACAATCTTTGCAGTGGCAAGCAATTGAAATATAAGCATTGATTTCCAGGCACTTTAAGGACAAAGGAATTGAAATAGAGCAAGTTCAAACCATGTTTCAGAGTCAGGAAAAGTTAGTAATGGCAGGAAGATGGAGAGTTACTTAGAACTATATTTCTTTTCCTGAAAACTTCTTCTTTTACTGGGTTCTGCTCTCAGGATATGTGTGTTCCCCAAGAGATATGCAAAAAAACCACCAGGTCACCAATCTGGACCTTGAGTATTAGGGACTGGTGTTTACCTGCACAGTATTTGTGCTGCTGTCATTAATATGGTGGAATAGTATGAAAAGCCACAGACACATTTATTGAGTGCCTACTATTAGCCAGGCACTGTGCTAGGTAATTTGCACTTGACGTCTCACTTAATTCTTACTAAAACCTAAATCCATTATGCAGATGGGAAATGAGGCATTGAGATACTAAAGTAACCTGCAGAAGGATGCTCATTTAGTAGCTGCAGGGGTGGCATCCAAACGAAACCTATCTGACTCTTGAACGTGGCTAGCTGTTCAGCGCTACATTTGGACATAGGCTGCATCAGTTCTCAGTCCCCTTTATCTTTCAGGGAAGAGAGGAAGTTCGATGAGGAGGAAGAACTTGTGAGTGGGTGAATGGAGCAGAAAGAGACTTTACTAACCTCTGCGACTCATTCGTTAATCATTAGCGAGAGTTCTTAAAGGTGAAGTGTTCTCTTCACCTAGCAGGAGTGACTGTTTGCATTTGACATCTTAACTCTTAAAGGTTCTCTTTCCTGTACAGCGTGGTGCCTTAGAAGAGAGAGTTTCTGAGAAATCAAAATGCCTTATTCCATATTTCAAGCAGTGTGATGGTAGTGCTTCAACAATGGGCAGACACTTGTGTTCTGGGTTAACAGGCGTCTCCAAGAATTTATTCTCAGATTCAGTCAGCACCAAGGCTTAGGAACAGCTTCACCGTTTAATCTTTCCACGGAACAGCTGTCACCTCTTTGCGGTGCTGAAATTCAGGGTGCGGGACGAACGGAGCATGCGTACTTTGCCCTGATTCCACCCCCGCCGGCTCTCCGTTGGTCTCGTTGGCTCCGCCCCTCGCGTCCTCGACGTTCTGCGTCATGGCGCGCCTCACCCCGGGCGACCCCGGAAGTGGGTCGGGGGCTTGGCCTCTGCGCGGCCTCGGAGCCGGAGCCGGAGGTGTTATCTGGAGGGGTCGCGCCGAGCTGTTCCGTCGGGCGGCGTACCCCGGGCAGGGCCCGGGCTAAGAGTCCAGGATGCTGAACGTCCCTTCCCAGTCTTTCCCGGGCCCCAGCTCGCAGCAGCGCGTCTCCTCCGGGGGGCGTAGCAAGGTAAGCGGGTGACTCCGGCGGTCTCGTGCCGCAGCCCTCCCTTCTCGCCAGCGTTTCATGCTCCGGCACAGTCCGTTCTCTCCTTCAGTACCCTCTCCCACCTCCTGTCCCCACCTCTAGCTTTCGTTCCCTCCCGCCCTTGCTGGCGATCTCTTTCAGATCCCATGCCGTTTCCAGTCCTCGAACTCTACTAACCTCCCTCCCTCTTACGTACTGGCCCCTTTTCTTTCCCATCCCTTTATCCCGTTCTGTCAGTTCCCTTCTTCCAACTCTTTCCCCATTAATTAAATTCAGATGTATGATAGGGCCAGGCTCTGTGCGTCCTATATTGTAGGGATTCAGTATTAGCTTCCTTCCTTAAACATAACCTCCTCCCCGTGCTTTTGTTCACTTTCCGAAGGGGTTGTGAGCGATGTGAGTTCCCTAGAAGAGAGGAAAGGCTGAGCACTAGAGACAGAGACCAGTGATCATCCCGCCAAGGGTGGGGACTCCGGGAGCTAGGGAAGATTGGAGAAGCGAGAACAGGTGTCTGCAAACCTCCAGTTAGGTTTACGGACGCTTCTCCAAGTCACACTGCCTTTCTGTCTTCCTCTGGTACCTGATTGTTTTATCACTGCCTTTTCTACTGATGTCATTTGCTGACTCTGAAGCTAATATAATACTCTTTAACTTTTTGTTGCACGTAGCTTCTGTTACCAACAGGTGGAACACAAATGTGTTTCATATTTGCAGAATTTAATAGAATTGTCTCCTGTGTTCATTGCAACATGAATGCTGCTTGCTTCTGTTGATTGTTAGTTCCTCATTCAATAACCACATCTTCATGTTTTGTTTGCAAGACTTCCACCTACTCGGGCCACTCCTTTTTCATTTCTGGACTCTTGAGCCTTAGCATTGACATCATTTGGGAACTTCACCAACTTTCTCTATGTTCTCCACATGGACCTGGAGTTTGACTCTAGATCACAATTATGGGTTCAGGGATCTGTAGCTTTCATTAGATTTTCAGAAGTCTATCACCCCAACTGTAATAATAATAAAACTGAGATTTATTTAGTGCTTACTGAAGACCTCAGTGCTTTACATGTATTAACTTGTTTAATCTTTCTAATGATCCTATGAAAGTGGGCGCTTTCGTTATCTCCATTTCACAGAAAAGAAAACTGGTTAAGAAATGCTGCCTTGGACCCAGTAGGCTTGATGTGATGTGACTCTGACTTTTCACTTATTGCTGCATATATTATGCAGCCATCCAGTCGTGTGTCCTCGTCTCCTTGGTGTTTGACCTGCTTCTCTCCTTAAGCTAAGTGCTTGGCTGAATAGGAGAGCCTTTTCAAAGAAAGCATCTCTGGATTAGAATATGAGAGTTGCTGCCCTTCTCCATTAAAACTACCAGCCATGTTCTCAGTATCATTTAAAGGAGAAAACTTAGAGGCAAAGACAAACGTTTCCCCAGGTGGTGATGGGAAAGGTGAGTCTTTGGGTCCAGAAAGAGAATAAAATGCGATTATTCTGCAATTCAAGAGAAAACTCAGACGATTTGTTCCCCCTTTGTGAAATTGTTGCGGAACTGAACTTGAGTTTGTTTTCCCGATGCGCAGCGAAGGCCATCTCCTGATACTGGGTTGTGGTGGAGGAAAGTGCAGCGTTTATTTGCAGGGCGCCAAGCAAGGAGAACGGGCAGCTAGTGCTCAGAACATCCAGATTCCCCGATGGCTTTCAGGCAAGCGTTATCAAAGGCAACCTTTGGGGTGAGGGTCCAGGGAGCATGATTAGCTTGCGGACATTCTTCTGTTTGGTTGGTGGTGAGGTAACATGGTGATATTTTAGAAATCTCAATCCACAACCTTCTTGTTCCAGCCAGGCTGGGGCTTTTGTGTTTGTGGTCAGCAGTTTCTATCCCTTGGGGTCCTGGTTGCTGTAAAAGAACTCAAGGATATGCATCATGTTGTTGTGTGTATCTCTTCAGGAGGGACTAGGAGTCCTGTGACTATTGTTCAAGCTCTTAGTAGTTTTCTTGCTTGACTACTTTCCCTTGGTTTCTGCATTTTCTCACTTCTGTAGTCATTAGCTGTTTGATTCTGCTCTTTGGAACTCTGGGAAGGCCTAGGAGACTGAAGCTTTTTCTACAAATAAGAAGCAGAGACATGGAGACCCTACCATATTTGGGTCTCAGTACCATATTTATTGAGACCCTACCATATGCTGGAGATGTGATCTCTGTTGGGGAGGGGGAAATTTCTACAAAATTGACACAAGACAGATTAGCAGGAGAGAAAGAAACAAACTTAATTGGCAGGCACAGAAGTCTTGTAGAAATGGGATCTAATGTTATGAGTCTGAGCTCGTACTGCTCGCAGCACGACAGGCCAATAAGGGGGAGACAGATTGCTGGGGCAAGGAATCATGACTTTATTTGAAAAGCCGGCAAACGGAGAAGCTGGTGGGCTCATCCCCCAAAGAACTATCTTGCCTGAGTTAGAATTCAGGCTTCTTTTATACTAGAAGGGGAGGGAGTAAAGTCAAACATTCCCTGTTTCCCATCAGCCTCCAGAGAGGATGTGTTAATTTCTTCGTCTCTGCAGTCATTTGCAGGTGGGCCTGGTCAGGATGTTTCCTGTGAGCTAAACAAAGGTATTTTAGCTTAATGCTCATTGCCCGGATAGCCGGATTCCCAGAGATGGGCCATTATGTATAATTTAAACTTATAGGCGACATCCCTTTAGTGATTAACTTGTAATAGATTCTTCCCTATTACACTGAGTGGCCAAAGCTGGCAGCTTTTATACTTTTTAGACAGACAGTACATTTGAGAGGAATTGATGGGACAAAGAAACTTAGGTCTGGATACTGAATTGGTAAGGAATTTGAGCAAAGTTTGGGCTTGGGTGGTAAATTAGTAAACAAATAACAGGATTTGTTTACAGGCTTCTTGGCCCTGAATTTCCTATCTCTGGTGAGAAGGATGTGTTTCTACCTCCCAGTAGAGGGAGGGCACCTTTCACATGGGAGATTTATTTCCTGCTTTCAGGGAGATAAAGAGGACAGTCAAAGTGTTCCTCTTGCATGGCCTGCCCTGGGCCCCAACATCTCTGTTGTCAAAGAGTTTAGTCCAGCAGGCTTCACAGACTAGTAAAGAGGCAGTTATAAATACCATAGGGACTGTAACAGTCTGTTATGACCTTGAAGGAGTTGGGGGTCAGAAAAGGCTTCTGGAGGAAGTAATGTCTGCGGGGGAGAGAGCGGAATCAGTTTCCATTTACCTAAAAGCATAGAATGGGAAGGGGCAAAAGTTAAAACGTGGAGCTAGTGAGGCAAACTATGACCAGATGATGAAGGGCCTAGTAAACCACTCGAGGGCATTTAGAGACATTATTATAAGGATTATGAGGAGCCACTGAAGGAGGGAGGGTCCTAGATTAGATTTGCATTTCCAAAAGATTACTTTTAACTACCCTGGAGGTGATAGAATGGTGACAGAAGTGGTTTGGGATGGGAAAGATCGTATGTATTCTCACACTTTACTTCATTTATGAAGACCAAGAGACCTAGAGAGTTTTAGCGATGGTAAGATTGGGATGATGTGGATTGGTAAGAAGGAATGTGAAGTTGGAAAGGCACCACAGACCTATTAACTTGGTTATTTTGGGGGCAACTGAATATCTAAAACAGATACGATTCAGGAAAGTGAGATGTGTGTTTTAGTACTTTCGGGCCGCTCTAACCGAATATCATAGGTGGCTTATAAACAACAGAAACTTATTTCTCACACTTCTGGCGACTGCGAAGTCCAAGGTCAATGCACTGGCCAATTCTGTGTTTTGTGAGACCCCAATTCCTGGTTTGTAGCCATCTTTTTAGTGTCCTTACTTGGCGGAAGGGGTGAGGGAACTCTCTAATGCCTGTTTTATAAGGGCACTAATCCCAACAACTTTATCACCTACCAGAGGCCCTGTTTCCTAGTACCATCACATTGAGGATTAGGATTTCAGTCTATTTTGGGGGGACACAAATAGCAATAAACTTCCTTGAATATGACTGCTTTTATGTTAAACAATTATCTGGTACTATGTTACAAACTAGTTATACAGGTTAGATGTCTTGAAAAATTTCCACTAGGGTGTCTCAACTGGTTAAAACACTAATTGTACCTCTTATCTAAAAGCTTTGAAAATGTATTTTGTAAAAAAACCCAAAACCCACAAAATCCCAAACATCCTGTTATTAAACCCTCTAGGCAGAGGAGAAAGCAAAGTTTTGTGCAAAGCCCAGGTAATAAATAATTTAGGCTTTGAGGGCATCATAAGGATTCAGTCTCTTCACCACCAGCACCACCACCATGGGTGGAAATTACTCGTAGCTCAAGGGCTATACAGAAACGGGCATAGGCCAGTTTGCCAACCCCTTCCCTAGAGTGTGACAGTTTAGAGACATTATTATAAGGAATATGGGGAGCCACAGTTTTATTATTTTCCATTATTTGATAACCTTTGTTTCTCAGTGGATTCTTAGAAAACATATTACCATCTCATGTGACTTCTAATATTCTGTGTATGTTGAAAATCTGGAAAATCAGCTTCAGCCAGTTGTTTCTGTTTTCTTCTATCAAATCCCTTGATTTTTAAGGCAAAGAAATTTTGGTCCAAATTGGTAAGCAACTAGAACATATTAGTGGTAGAGCCAGGACCAAAATTTGTTTTCTGACTCTGGGTTCAGTACTATCCTTGTACTATGATACCATTTGGATGGGCATTTGGGTGCCAGAATTTCTAAGCCCTACCTCATGGCCTAGGTACTTTATATAGGATTCCATTTATAATTCTGATACCAGCTCCTAAAGCTGAAGAAGACTTTTAGAATTGTTATATTTGAGTTTTCTTATCTTTTGGAGTGGGAATCAATAATGAAGTGGCCTGAGGACCAGCAGCAGGAAGGGGAAGGGAAAGCAGCTGACTCGAAAAAACCACACTGAATTCTTCCCTGTTCCTTTTTGAGGTCCCTCTGAAACAGGGCAGAAGTCTTATGGATTGGATTCGACTGACCAAAAGTGGAAAGGACCTAACAGGATTAAAAGGAAGATTAATTGAAGTAACTGAAGAAGAACTTAAAAAACACAACAAAAAAGATGATTGTTGGATATGCATAAGAGGTAGGTGGTATTTATTATGTACTGCAAAACGTTTTGGCTAGGGTTTCCAGTTGTAATGCTGTACAACCCCTTGGTCCTGTTATTTGGTGATATGATTTGCAATTAGCTAACAAAAATATGCCTTACACTGGGCAATAAATTCTCTAATTCGGAATTTGGGTCTGAATCAGGGCAGTATTTCTTTCCTAAGTCACTGTTCACATAGCATCCCTGTACTGTATTCCCTTTGAAAGAAAACAAGTGTTTACCAGGCAATTTAATACCAAAGTAATAAAATTATTCAGTAACACCTAGTTTATGTGGAATAATGTTCCACCTTTGTGCCGTGTAACAGAATTCTGTAGGAAAAAATGTCTCTGAGAATCTAAAGTAAATCAGAAAACCCACATTAAAGCCAAATCCTTAGTTCTCACTTGCAGCACTTTTTATTACTTAATCCACGCTTGTTAGCAGTATGAGTTACCTGATTTTTCTAGCCCACAGCAAATTAGAAGCCCCAGGCTAGAAATGGATAGATTGGGAGAGAGTGAGCAGAGAAAGAATGATAGTTGATGGAAGTAGTTCTCATGGTGTCCTACAGCCTGGTATCTGGGAGAGAAGCAAAAACAATAAAGGGCTTGCAGCTGTGCACTGGGTCTCCACAGCAATGTCCTTGAGTCATCTAGACGGGGTTCAGTATATCCACTATCCTCAGTTTAAAGAAGAAAGGAAGTGTGTCATTTATTGCCGTTATCGCAGTTGTAATTTTATCATTGTATAATTTTGGTTTGTTGTCAGTTATCCTGATGACACTGTCACCTGTATGAGGGCAGGGACCATGTCAGTCCCCTGCTGTGTCCTTGGTGCCTGGCACATAGAGGTCATCAGTATGTGTTTGTTGAACTAGTGCAACACTTACCATTCTTAAGAAATTTGGTTACTTGAAGAGGTGGTTGTCACAGTAGATCAGTGGTATAGTAAACGGAAAGACACCAGTAGCACTGTTAGTTTGCTGGGGACGCCCAAACAGAATTCAACAAACTGGGTGGCGTAAACAACAGAAATTTATTATCGCACAGTTCTGGAGGCTAAACTTTAAGATCAGGATATCTTCTTTGGGCTTGAAGAGGAAGCTGTCCCATGCCTCTCGCCTCTCTTCTGGTGGTTTGCTGGCAGTCTTTGGAGTTGCTTGGCTTGTGGTGGCATCACTCCGATCCCTGACTTCATCTTTATATGGCATTCTTCCTGTGTGATTGTCTGGGTCCAAACTGGCTGTTTTTATAAGGACATGGGTCATATTGGAGGAGGGGCCTGCCCTACTCTAATATGACCTCATCTAATTACATCTGCATTGACCCTGTATCCACATAAGGTCATGTTCTGAAGTACTGCGAGTTAGGATTTCAGTGTATGAATTTGGGGGTACACAATTCCATCCATAACAGATATAATTAGAGTGTGGAATGTTTTTCAGTGGCAGAGGGTATGGAATCTTCCAGGAGGGGATGACTTAGCTTGTTCTGAGACAGAAGAACAGATGCTCAACTTTTCAAAGTTTCTCAGGGAAATACACTGTGGATAGACCAGTAACTTGGAATGAGGATTCTGCCAGACACAAAAAGCTCCTTTTGCCATTTGATAGGGTTTTTAATACCTTCCTTGCTTTCTCTCCGTGCTGCATACCCGTTTACCAGGTGCAGGTAACTGGCACAAAATGACCTCCCCACTGTGCCCAAGTGTCTTCTGCTGGCCTGGGTGAAGTGGAGGTCAGTTTCCCACGAGGATTTCTCAGCTGGTCCAGGCTATGGGCGTGTCTGAGCTGTTTCTGCAGTAGGAAGCCACTTTTTCAGAAAACTCTCTCATGTGAACCCTTCACATCCTAGCGCTATTAGATAAATGAGGCATCGTTACAATACAGTCATACTTTTTTATTCATTTGATGTACTGATGGAGGTCAGGGACAGGTTTGCTATGTTTAAAAAGTAATACATGTTGCTCCCAGTTACATATCTCCCGTAATGATTTGAATGGATGCCACTCTTCCGGTAAGGTTGTTGATTTAAGGATAAATTCTTTTAAAGTTTCTGTTGGAGAATGTATTCTACCCTACTAATAATTAGGCTTTCCTCCCCCACCCCCCCCCGATTGCAAAGTAAGATGTGTCTTTTTTTTTTTTTTCCCTTTTGACAGAGTTTGGTTTTTAATGTTAATAAAGCAACATTTGATTTAGGCCCTGCCCTGGGACCCTCCACTCTAGGAGGAGAAGATAAATAACTGATAGACAAGTCTGAGTGAAGTGCCCTACGAGGGCTATAAAGAAAGTGATGTCAGATTGCAGGGAGGGAGACGTGTGGGTTAGGAAAATCAGAGACTCTTTTGTGATAGAGATAAGCCTTGAAAGGGTAGACAGGATTTCAACCGGAAGGGAGGGGGAAGTACACCCAAGCGGAGGGAAATGCTAACCAAGGGTCTAGACACAGAAAAGCTGGAGGTATGTTCTGGAGCTTAGGCTGCCTGTTGGAGAATTATAAGAAAGAAAACTCTGAAGGCATGTTAGGGCAGATTATGGAGGACCTTGAAAGCCAAGCTGAGAAATGTGTTCTTAATTTTGATGGCAGTGTGAACTGTTGGAGGTGCTTGAATGTGGGGACAGAGAAGGCCTTGGAAAAGGTAGTCTGGTGGTGGGCATAGTGAATTGAAATGAGACTAGGAAAGCATTTAGCTCTTACAGAAGTTCAGGTGGTAATAGGTGAACCAGGATGTTGACAAAGGCAGCAAAGTAGGATGAATGAGGATGACAGACAAAGTAGGATGACAGACAAATTCCCGGTAATTTCTAACACAGTCCTCTATGAAAGTAGAAGAAAGCACAGGACTGAATGTAATTGTCTTTTTCTTCTTAGCTGTTCTAATTTAAAATGTTAGTGATACCTTCTTAAAGGGAATGTATGCCAATTTAGCTTTGAAGGTCAGTGCTAATGTTTGGACCCAAGTTTTAATCAAAGCTCTACCACAGGGAAGCATGGTATCAAGGTATATATTTTTTTCTTTTTTTAAAGTATTGGATTCTTCATTTTCTAACAATTGCCCCATTTTTAGATCAGTTCAAATTTCAGCTTGATCAGACCAAGGGAGGACACAGTGTCTCTTTAGAAAATATACACTTTGGCATGGGTTTTTATAGCTAATATTTGGGGGACTTTTTTTTTTTTTGAGTACATAGCTGTTCTGCTTAATGTTCAGGTGTGCTAAATCTAGTCACGTTCGTAAAAATGATGGTGTAAAAAGAGCACTTGGCTGGCAGCTGACTGTAAAATGTGGGCATTGGTCTGGAATGATCTCAAAGGCAGGTTTATGGAGTTTCTGATATGTTCACTTAATTCTCACCTTTCTCTGTAAAGTATGTAATTCCTATAATGCAATAGGAGTTAATTGGGACATTGAGGGACTGGATGGGAGAGAGATAGCTTTTTCAAAAATTTTGTTGAATTTCCCGTTAATTCATGCAATTGTAGTTTTCTCTTTTATTGCTATTTCTCTCTCTCTCTCAAGAACTAAAGGTGATTTACAAATATGTGAAGCTTTGAACACGAACATTTAGGTGTTTGAATAAAAATCTAAATCACTAATCTGTGAGAGCTCTGTAGAGCCTAGATCAGACTTTGTTTTTTCTGTAGTATATTTTACTGTAGTATGTAATCAGTGTGGGTAATGATGTATTAAGTCATGAAATCATCTTTTGGCATCATTTTAATCTTAGGGTGAGGGGAAGTGTGGCCTGATACTCAATAACAGTCCATTTAAATAAATGATATTTCTAAAAAGTTGATTACAGTAAATATATTGGCCATTCTGCTGTTAAAAATTTAGTGAAGGGCTTCCCTGGTGGCGCAGTAGTTGAGAGTCCGCCTGCCGATGCAGGGGACACGGGTTCGTGGCCCAGTCTGGGAAGATCCCACATGCCGTGGAGCGACTAGGCCCATGAGCCATGGCCGCTGAGCCTGCACGTCCGGAGCCTGTGCTCCGCAACGGCAGAGGCCACAACAGTGAGAGGCCCGCGTACCGCAAAAAAAAAAAAAAAAAATTTAGTGAATGCAGTTCCCCAGGTGGGATTTAATGGATTTCATTTATAACTTAGAAATGAATATACTTTGATTTCTCCTAATGCTGATTGTCATATGCTAGTAAATTGAAGAGGCCTGCTTGAGACCATTGTAAAAGTGACTTTTAATGGGTTTGTATTTTTCATGCTTCAATAACTAAAAAATCTTGGCAGATTGATTCCAAGAAATGGTATTTTTCCATTACCGTTTCCTAGATTTCTAGGTTCATTTACAGTAAACTTTTAAAAAATTTACTTGTATGACAGTAGAGTAAATTTTTATGAGTGCATCAATCCTCATTATTCCTGGGTTTCAAATTTGCCTACTCACTAAAATTTATTTGTAACCCCCAAATCAGCACTCATAGTGCTTTCATAGTAATTTGAAGACGTGCACAGTGCAGTGAAAAATTGTTGCTGCCCGAGCACACGTTCCTAGCCGAGGTCAGACAAGGCAATGTTCTGCCTTCTTGTTCCAGCTGTCTTACAAGTGTCTTTTTTGCCGTTTTTTTAGTGCGACATTTTTCACATCCTGTGCTTTTCGTTGGTGATTTCACTGTATACATGCCCCCCGCCCCACAAGGAGAGTGCTGAAGTGCTGTCCCAAGAATGCGGTCATGTGCCTTCCGGAGAAAATATCTGTTAGATGAGCTTTGTTCAGCCATGAGTCATAGTGCTGTTGGCTATGAATTCAGCGTTCATGAATCTACAGTATGTATTGAATAATATGTCAAGCAGAACATACATTAAACAAGGTTATGTTTTGATTGGTTGACAAAAATGTGACCAGGGCCTTGCAGGAACCTCACCTTGTATTAATATTTTCCCTTAGGAGCAGTGGTTCAGTGTTGGCTAATTCAGTGTTTGAAGTGAGTTTGAGGAACGTTAACTGCCTAGAGTAATGAGAATTGACTGTGGT